AAATATTGTTCTTTTAGATTAGGATTTTTATTTAATTTATTCTCTAAAGATAAAAAACGCTTTTTGGCTAAATAAAAAGAATCTCCAAGAGCTTCTTCAGGAATTTCCTTCAGAGGCATCTTTACTGAAAATCTACCATTACTAAGGCGTTTGACATTTTCTTGAAAATGGGACTCGCACAACCTTTCTTCAGGTGTGCCAATATTAATCTTTAAATTTAATTCTTCAATTTCCCAAAATTTCTGTAAATTATCATTAATATTATGAGTATAATTACAAATAACATGGCCAGGTTTATAAATACCCACTGGCCCACTTACAAGCCAACCTAACTGTGATTCCTGAAGAACTGGTCTACCTACACCTAGAGTTATACGCTTGAACCCTACTAAATCCCAAAATATGTCAGCGCCCAACAGTAAATCAACTTCTGCGGGACAATAAAAATATGGGTCTGCAAGCTCAATATTGGGAGGTAAGTCTAGTTCTAGAATATTAACAGGAGAATTAGGCAAAGTACCTGTTACCTTAGGGACTACTAGACATGTTATCATAGTACTAAAATTTTTATTCCTTGATTCTATCCCTAAGGTGACACGTTCAGATATACTAAATGCAACATTATTAATGCCCGAGACACGGAGCGGTTCAATATTGTGAACAGGTAAGTTTAATTTTCTTTTCAGATTATCAGTCACAAAGGACGATTGGCTACCACTGTCCAACAACGCGCGAACAGGGTAAGTTTCATTATTAATCATATTTTTTACTGATACAACAGCAGTACACAGCAATACTTGACTACTATTAGAGATGCCAGACAGTGTAACTGGAGGCAGTGTCTGTGACTGTGAAGCAACTGTAGAATTAATATTTTCTAAGTGCTTATCATTTTTATTTAAATGCAACAAAGTATTATGACTATATTTACAATGACGACACATGGATTTCAGACGACAATTCTGAAAGTTATGACCTTCACGTAAACAATTATGACATAGTTTTAATCGTTTAACTTCCGCTACCCTATGGGGAACATCCATATCTTTAAATTTTGGACAATCATAAATGCGATGTCCTTGTTTATTGCAACATAAACACACAAAGTCACATACAGTCTCACCTGATGCTACAGGACTCGAAATCTTTAAGTTATCAAATGATTTATTATTTTTTGAGACTGAATTATTATTATTATTATTATTCCAAAATTTTTTGTTATGATTATTTGAGTTAGAATTACTTGAACTTTCACTATGATTTGTTGTACGAGATACAGCATTCTCTAAAACATCAGCACGGTTACGGATAAAAGTATAAAATTGATCTAAAGTTGGATTGTCAGAACAATTACTTAAATATTCCTCCCATTTCATATTTGTAGTGGCATCTAATTTCATAGTTATGATGAATATAATGTGGACATCCCAATATTCTGTGGGTATACCAAGGGCCTTAAGCGCTCTCATATTTTTATTAACATGATCCAATAAGTTCCGCAATGCTTTATGTGATTCTGTTGTGATGGGATTGATTAAATGTAATGATTTTAAATGACTATTAATGAGAACTCTCTTATTATCATACCTAGCACACAATAAATCCCATGCAATCTTATAATTTATTGATGTAAACTCTAATGACTTTATAACCTCACTAGCACTGCCCTCCAGTGAAGCCCGCAGGTAGTGAAACTTATTGATATCCTGTATTGATGCATTCTCATGAATTAAAGACAAATAAGTATCTCTAAACTCAAGCCACTTCAAATATGAGCCATCAAACACAGGCAATTTAATGGTTGGTAACTTAACTGAACTTTCATTAGATTGTGAGGGTAATTGTGATTTGACATTAACCGGATTTAACTTTTCTAAAATATCTTGTAAGGTTGAAATTGCTGTAATGAACTGATTCTCTATTGTAGATCTAGTATTTATCTGTTCTTGTATTTCAGATTCATCACAAAGTAATTCTATTTTGTCTTGAAAGGTCTCAAAATCTTTATATAAGGTTTCACACTTTTTTAAATGTAATTTAATTTCAATAACTTGTGCATTTGATAAACTAGAGCAATCCACTAACTTGAGAGTGTTTATGTATTGTGTTTGCGTCGTCAAACGACCTCTTATATTTCCACGTTGCCTAACCAATGTACTTAGGTCAGTACTTTTAGAAGTAGACATCTTTAAATTTAATCACTCACAACAAATATTAACAAAGAAATATAATGAACTAGGTAAATAAATTGTGCATCTAACCCAATTATTGTTCCTTACTCCAGTCGCAGTGTGTAGCACAGGAAAGTCACCGCCTTATTGCAGACTGCACGGCGTCCCAGTAGTGCTCAAACCTGGCGCGGCGTAGATGGATACTACATGCAGCACAGGCGCACTTCTCTCATGCAATGCAAAACGGGCTGGATATTTATGCCCACAGCCGCGCCAAGCATACGAATCTGGAAACGTTCGGCAAATCTTATGAAGCAAAGCTAAGCAAAGCAAGCTAGAAAATGGTGCAAATAAGGACGGCTAAAATTTACAGTGAAAACAAAGAAACCCCCATGTGCATAATATGCAAGAAGTAGGCAAACCCATGCCGCGTGTCACACACACCAGAAAATAAGAATGCTCAGCCGAGTGGCATGAAAAATAAATGTAGGAAGAACGGGCGGCAGGGTATCAAGGCAGCAAAATATTAGTTTTAACTAGGTACTAGTGCCTATCACAGTTAAGGCTTAAATTATCGACTTGAAAGTACCCAAGTTAGGCCATATATTAAAATTTTAATAAGAAAAAATTACTTGAAAATGACCAACCTTTCTAATCATGACGAACTAAAATGAAATTTAATTTTATATAGAAACATACAAATGGCGGACGACGAATTTTTAGAAAATTAAATCAAATGAATTGACTACATTACTTTCACCCGATAGCGGACAGTTGGAAAAGAAAGGAGGAGGAAAAACGAGCACTTCCCATGGTGGCTAGGTATCCTTACTAGCAGCTCGCAGGTGGACTTGTCTTCTTTCCAAATAATATATGTATAGTCGTAGTCGTCGTTTGTTTTAGGCGTTCGCGTTGGCCGCCATGTTGCGCTGACACCAAACTCCTTTTGGTTTTTGTAGTTTATCCGAAAATTGCAGTTATTCTTCTTTTTGCACGGTCGCCAAATGATCGATATAAATAAGTAGATCCCTTTGCAGATGTACTTCTTTAATCGCTAATTATAATATAAGTTTACAATAATTGAGTGTGTTTTCGTCGCGACTATTAGAATGGCAGTGGCCGGAAGGCGCGCAGCTCGAACCTCTCGCTCGCGCTACGGATGCGTTCCATACACGACGAAGAATGATGCGTTCCGGCGTAGACATACACTTCGAGAGCGCCATGAATTCCATTAGGTATTAGCGGTGCATAATCCGCATCAAAACGCGTAGACTGTACACCACTTTCAATACACATTCTGCAGTTAAATTAGCAATTTACAATGTAGGTACATGCACGGTGTTTGGGTCTGATGGAGTTAAAACCGTCCAATTAGGGATGCCTCTAAATAGACCGGGACTAAATGCGAAATGTAACGGTGTTGTTACTGAGCAACAGTATTAGTGACTATTTATTTCTCTCTCCTGTGTTCTATGTGTGGTTTAATTTTGTTCTATATGATTTGGTTAAGCTTATGTTTGAGCTAATATATTTTTTGTAAGACAAATCACACAGTTGCTAATTACAATCTACCCACCACCACCACCACGATGGTACACTAACATATCTCCCATCTAAGAAGCTGAAAATACATGGTGCACTCATCTTTTACAAAATATATATTTCTTCACACTTTCACCAAGCATATACAGGATATTAGAATATAATTATGTTCTTATTATGATCATAGAGAAGTTACGCATGGATGTTCTAACAAAAAAAATTAATGTCTGTGTAAATCTGTGTCAAATCCCTGTCAAATAACGGAAAAAAACAAAAATATAATTTTCCTGAAATCAAGAAAATACCAAAAACATTTTAAGTTTTTCGAGTACTGTAACCAAACCATTATTTCATTTATTATATTATAGCTCAGGTGGTTTCAAACGACCAATCTAAATATACTATACAAATATTTATTAACAAAGTCAATTAACTACAGTTATCTGATTACTCGGTTCGAATTGAACTGTTACTAATAGAGTAACGATGATACCTATCAAAATTGACCAAAAGTTTTCAAATTAACACTTGTAATTGAACTTACCTAATTGGTCTTCGCAAAATAAATATAGTCTTGTTTTAATTATGCGTCCTTCGAACATACAAATACTTACATTATCGAGTATTAACTAAATCTATTAAGTCCTCATGTATACTGAGATGTTCGAAATCGGTCGTTGGAGACGAAATATATGGTTGCAGTCCCCTATGTGGTTTGAAACTAGTCGGTCAATTTCCGGAACGACAGCACAGAATATACAGTATATACGTATATGTATACATATATCCGACGGCAAACGTGCTGGCGGATTACCTGATGGTAAGCAATCAGCCATGGTCACCCGTAACAACGGAGGAGTTGCAAGTTGACGACCTTTTGGGGATTAGGGTTTTGGAAATATAGGGATTGGACCTCTGTTAGCCTCACTCACATGGCAAATCACAACGTTGTGTTTGTTTCACGCTGGTTTTCTGTGAGGCTGTGGAATCACTACGGGGGAGCCGGCCCTTTCATACCGAAGCATGGCTCTCCCACATTGGAAGATAGAATTTTTTTTTTTTTGTTAATCAAATCTTGTTTGAATATCAAATGGAGCCGAGCAACGGGTGAAACCTAGTATGTTATATTTTTTATGAGTAGATAGTATGTTATATTTTTGTATAAGAAAAGGAATAATAATATTCGGAAAATTTTCATCTTTAGCAAAACCTATAAAACCATACCGTCTTTCCGAAATTGTTCCGGCGTCTACAAAAATTGTTATCTATTTAAAACATCAGATAATAATTATTACAAGGCTTGATATTTTTAGTGTTATCTAAGAATTACTTGTACTATATTATGCGGTAATCACGTCATCTAATTACTTACTTATATTCAAGGTATAAAAATAAAATTGACCATTTGTTCTAATAACTTTGCTGTCAACACATTGACGGCATTTGTTTTTTTTCTTGGTATTTAATCTTAAAAACGAAGACAAAGAATCGTCATACAAGTGTTTGTGTTAATATGGGAGAGCCTACTGATACTACAGGTAAAATAATAATTCAAACTAAAGGATTTTGTAAATATAATTCTGTCTATTTCAATTTCATTTGAATGAAAAGAGATAGAAATATACATAAGACTTAGACATTTGCTCATCTAGCTAACGAAAATAAAATTGTCACACATCTTCAATCGACTTCCATATTTGTTCCAATGGGATAGGGTAGGAAACTGATTAAATTACTATTAAGATTAATATATAAGGAGTCTGTAAATATAGCTTTTTTTAATATACAAATAAAAATATTTGGTAAGGCAATGTTTTGATTTAATTTAAAGATGCTACTAGTGCTCTACTAAGAACGGTTTTGGCAGTCAACCACAAAACACGTCTAGTTCAACAGTTGGTTCAATGTTTTAAATAAATCGATTTGAGTGCATACAAGTGAATGTAATAATAATAATTGTGAGTTTTTATAAGTGATTAAATAATAAGACAAATTGTAATAAGGTTATCAGATAATCGATTAACGTAAATTCAATGCAGTAGTTTGTGATAACGAATTTATCAGAATAAAAGTATCAGTGCTTTATCGATACCTACGTAAAACAACCGACACAGCATTATTTGGAATGTTTGAAAACGCGTGACGGTGGAAATGAAGCTTTACGAACACTACTGACGTATCCATTTCGTTAATTTAAACGTAGTCGCCCATCCACATAAATTTCACTAATGTCTTTTCATTTGGTATATAAAAGTAATACCTACCTAGTTTGAAATATTTAAACAATTGTTTCCTCTTTTTTTAAGTTAATGTATTCTGGATCCTGCATGATCAATCATCAGGTATGGTAAAACTAATAGAATATCATTAGAAACTTATTGCGTCAATTGGGTACTTAATTCATGACTAAATCAAACACAGTGTATCAACAATCTAAATAAAAACAAAGAAACTGTCAAGTCAATATCAAAATACACATCACAATAAATAGCGCTAAGGTTGTAAATTTTTATTCATTATTGCACAATAGAAAAATTCTTAAAATATGATTAGATTTTAGTTTCTCTATAGATGCACCACTAGCCGGAGCGCAGTTGGTCAGCCGTATTCGCCACTGCGGCCCTTAGTAGCGACCTTGCCGCATAAATATAGACTTGTTCAGTGTCGCCAACAAACAAACCGAGTTACCACAATCACGCTTCAGATACTACTTGTCTTATCAAAGAAAATGGCTAAACGATTACGTTCTAATCGCTTTACATCTGTACGCGTGAATCAAAAAGTGTTTACCAAGTATAAAACTGTATTGGACGCGAACTAGTTACGTTTGTTGTGGCGTAGAGCGTTATTTTCAGAATGTCATCCACTTCGTCGCCGGCTGGGAAAAGAAGTTAGTGTTTTATTATTGGTTGCGTGTGTTATGTGTGGCAAAAAGTGATGTGATTACGTTATTATGATGCTTGTAGTGTGAACACAGCTGTGTGTTCGATTTGAAAAGTGATCCGTGTTTGGATAGGTTTGTGTATCAGTAAGTGCTACTATTTGCAAAGTCTAGACGGGTATTGTTTAAACTATCTTTATTTTTGTTGCCAAATAATAATTTTGTTGTTCTTCTTTTATATAATTTTCTAATTACAAGAGTAGGTGTTTCTGGGCTACATTCCCATTTTCAAAGGTAAATTTATTTTGTCTGATCTAAAAACCTTGAACTCCTAACAATAAACTCACTAACTCTCCCATCTGTCTCTCTAATTATTACGCTCCGAAACTATAAATACAGACGGTCTAGTTCAAATATTCTGCCAGTTGTCGTCGTTTAATTTCGTGAATTATTGTGTTTAAATTGAGTTCTTATTGTTTACTCATTGAAGTCCTTTTTCGAAGTTATTTCGTTTTTAAAGCTAGCTATAATAAGGAGAACAATATTATTGAAATAAAATTATTGAAATTTTATATCAAAATATTTATCAGACTACAATCTCATGTATTTGCCATCATCGATAAGCTGGAATGTGCATTAAAATATCAATTGGATTTCTGCGAAGGGAGGCAAGCGTGAAAATGTAAATGCACATATTTTCATCCATATTTTTATTCGATTGCCTTGTCCTCGTGAATGCGATCATACCGTATTAAATAGCTCGAATACTACTAAATAGACGTTCCCCAATTCTTCCAATCAATAACGAAGAAATTTTTGTTAGTGAACCCTTGTATGATTAGTGCCTTTCATCATTCGTAAGATTTTAATGATCATTATATGAGTAAATATATTATTACATATTCTTTTCAAAACGTTTTCATTATCGTACAGATAATGCGATTGTGAGATTAAATAAATCATTCTGAGAGTTTCTTTCTAATAAATGTTCGTAATTTTCTACTCGATTACGTATCGTATATTGGAATCGACGGATTCTAATATCCACTTATGTTTATATTTGGGATTTCCATTGGCAACCGTGTAATGTATCATTTCGGATTTCTAGTAAATCTGTTTGAATCTCCGTGTGTTGCTTGTTTGTTTGTTTTGTCGATGTGTTCTGATTTATTTAGAATTATTAAGACTTTGCTTGAAGCTTCTTCTGTGAAAACTCAACGTAAGGCTTTTGGAAAATATGAAGCGGTTTCTCTTTTAATACTCATCGCTACCACAGCTTTATCCTAAAAAGCTGTATCTTTGTTTTTGATGTTTCCATTCCTAGAATTTGGGAGTGCCGTGTGTACATTTTGTTATCGCGTATTAAGGAATATTTTCCTTCTTTGATAGTGGACTGATTATATTGTTTAGGTTTATCTTCAACATTATATTTATCTATCCAAACTGTTTATAGTTGATTATGGCATCAGATTTGTAAAAAAATCAAGTTTTTTTTGTAGTTGTTGGTTTTTGGTTTGGTTTATTCTGTGGTTTGTTATAATGCTAAGTCATTAATATACTTCAAAGTACGAACACCATAACCGCATAAAACCTTACATTAGTAAACAACATTCAGAACTAGGCAAATCGGCTGCAACTACTCCAACCAATTATCTCTCAAGTCCAAACAAACATACGTATCCTTGAATTATCTCTATGTATTCCAGAATGCTTAAAATACAAAACCAGGTTTACACTACATACGATAATAACGTGTCGGGTTTATAGACTGCAGTCGTATAGCATACAATATTGTACTCTCTTGGGTTAATTTCATCTTACATATTCTTGGAACAACATTGTGTTTTAATTATGCCTAGGATTTTAGTCTCACATGTTCATAGTTAACAGATCAAAATTTTATAGAAATTTTTTGGTTCTGGTTTGAATATTTCTGAATTTACCGAAGTCCATTTCGAAATTAGGTTAACAGGCTAAAAAGAGATAGAAAATATTCTTGTCTTTGTTGAATTGCATCAGAGGTTATGTAGCAATTTCTGTGAAACAATACAGACGGGAAAAACTTCTTGGATATCTGGTCTAGCAAAGCCTAGTTTTTAAGCATACTCATTAAATATCCTCCTTTCTTTTGCAGTAGTTCTAAGCACATTGCTCGAGACGGATCACTACGAGGGCCTGATCAAGGAGCTGACGTGTACCAAATGTAACACGTACATGAGGCCGCCCATCCACCTCTGTGTGGATGGACACAGTCTCTGCGGCCGCTGCTATGAGAAGAGCTTCCAATGTCATGTTTGTAAGGTAAGGATACAGTTTCATTTGTTTACTTGACTTGTCGAGGTGTATCATATGATAGAGTTAAAAAATATACTTAATAAATAAAAAAAAACACCGTCGAAGAGCGCGTTAGGATCTTCTTGTCCTTTGCCCATCTCTCTCCATTCCCTAAATCTTCGAATGTCCAAAACCTTAACGGTCAAAAAGCCGGCAACAAACTCGAAACCCCTCTAATGTTGCGGGTGTCCATAGACGCCAAAAATGACCAGCTAAGTAGTTTGTCGCCCGTTCATTAAATAAAAAATTATAGGATTTGAGCTGGCTCAATAAGTGACTTTAGGTCTAATTAATCTTGCCGGGGTTGCGGGGTAAGCGCAATGAGGCACCGCGACCTCGGCCCAAAGTAGGAGAAGTAACGAGTGGGTTTTTAGTCAGTAAGAGTCTGACACTCTCTGTCGCCTTACCCTGGGCGGGAGAAGTCATTGGACGATTTTCACCTGACAAAAAAAAAGATCTTATTTGTCTTAACAATGTCAAGATAGATATACCGAATACTTTTGAATAAAGAACGTAATTTGTGTGAAAGATATACCACAGTTATCGGGCACTTAGTGAAAGAGGTCCCAATAGATATCGAACGAGTTATATTTTGTCTGCCAGAAATTCTATTTCAAGATTCAAATTAGACTGAAGGACTCCAAATTTAACTCCATCAAACAGTATCGATAGTTAATTGTATTTCTTCTTTATTCGGACACATTATTGATACAAAAATTTGAACTTTTCATTGAAAGTATCAATAGATTCGTCTAAAACGCTCATCGATTATCAAGTTTCAATTTCGCAATTACGTATGTTTCCTGATCTCATTTTGTTCGTTTGTTTGTTTGACTTGTGCATACGCTGGCGTTTGTAAACACAGTAATCAACATGGTCTTATTCTAGAAACATCTATTTTGTATTGTTTCCTATCTCGATTTTGATATAGCTGATAGATTTTTAGCTAAATGATCAACAGTTGTTACAAAAATCACTTTTTTTAATTCTAAACTGATTTCACTCAAACAAAAGAATTATTACTGATTCATTCAAGAAAATATCTTCTAGGGTTTCTTACACTTGAGTAGTAATTGTGAATTTGAACAATTTTATCAGCAAGTTTCATTAATTCAATGCCCTTGAAAAGGGTGTACGTCGTTCGTCTTAGTCATCAAATATTGTCGTTGTAAATATTATTATCAACAATGTCGATCGAACTGTCGATACAAGTAAATCTCAGTACAAAATTATCACACTGCGGTAATTTTATCGATAAAAATTGATATTAATTATCGCATAAATACTTATATTTAATATGAATAGGAAGAATTGAAGCTAAAATCGTAATCGTCGTTCATATTTTTTTGAGGGTTTATAACCTCATTTTATTTGTCTTGTCCGCGGTATATTACTCTTATTATACCCAAAACCCTAGCAGATTAATTATTATGTTCACTTTAGGATAGCAATGATGACTTATGGCTGGTAGTTGACCTACCAGCTTACACATAAGATACTTAGAAGGTAAAATATGTAGTTATAAGTTTTACATGCTTAGAATACTATATGCATGAACGTGTGATTTGAAGGAGAATCTTAAAAAAAAGTTCTAAATGATTTAATTATTAGATCGTAAATTTCCTGCTGATCTGAGTTACTCGTGTGACATTTTGTAAAAAATAATATTGAAACAAGTTTGGGATTCCATCGATCATTGTTATAATGGACCCTAAACTTGAAATTACGTTATACAAAATATGTATGATATTTTGTTACGTAAAATTCTAAATTCCTTTTCAAAGAATCTTCTCACACAGAAACGGCTTGGGGTAGAAACATAAGTTACCACGCTTGCTCAAGGTGGGTTGGTCCAGCAGTGGACGAAAATAGGTCGATAAAGACTAAAAAATAAAAATAAAAACTTCGAACAAAAACTATAAATCCTAGACTACAGAAAAGAAAAAGAGAAATATCCAATCGCTGAACAATAATTTGTGGATCACAGAAAGTATTGTTGGGTGCAGCAACGAAGACGAGATCCATACGTACTAACGTACGTTGTCAGACACGTCAATCGTTCCTATAGTAAAAAACCAGTTGTTATTTTTTTGCGTCCAAAAATTCTGCTCTTCCCTGTTTTCATAGGAATGCTGGCAAAAACTACCGTGGTCTTTGCTGATATTCCTCAAAACAACTTCTGTCTTTCTATACTGTAATTTCAGCAATGCTTTGTCAGTCAGAAGCTTAAACATTAGTTACAAAAGAGTTCAAAAAATGAACGATTGACTATCGCTTACTACGAACAAAAATACCTTTCTTTTTATAAAACTTAAATCATTTGCTCTTACGCTTAGGCTAAGTATATTAATTAGCATTCTAAAAACGGGAAAATTAAAACTGCGTTATCGATGTCCATGGCATTCTTCCACGCCAGCGAAGCTTGGCATTAAAATATCTGCTCCGCTATTTTTATAAAATGTAAAGCATTTGTGATAAGACTGAGAGGCATTTATTAATACTAAGTTATTTTCAGCACAATATTTATAAAGCCTCTTATAAAATTATTATTATTCAAGTACTAAAATAGTCTTAAATGTTCTTGAAACTTAAATGAGATTGATTGTCAGACTTCAATATTAATGCTGATAAATTATGTAGGTAAAAAAAAATGTTAAAATATTCTTCTTTATTTTGTAAGAATCTGTTTTTGATATTGGTAAAGGTACCTAGCTCCTACTTATAATTGACATAAAGTGTTAATATATTTATGCAAGCTGAGTTAAGTATTTGATGTGATGTATTAGTTTGTGGTCTACAAACTAATAAAATATATTGTTAGTGGTTCACCAAAATAAAAACACAAACACATTTATAACTAAAATGGTTTTGATATAATATTTGATTGTCATAGCTAGGAAACAAAGCAATCTTTTGTTTTAAGACTCATACCCACACTGCAGTTGTACGTTGAACAAATAAATAAACACAAAACTACGTTCCGTTGCCAACAAGAACTGGAAAAAGAACAGTTTTTCAATTTGCAAAGTCTTTCATCAACCTTTGCGTATGCCGCTGACGTCGCTGTTGGAACAGTCTAACTAATCCCTTTGGATTTCGAGGTACAAACTGCACAAACCGACAACGGACCACCCAGTAACTGAAGCCGACAAATTATAGAATGTAACGGTTTTCCCCGAACGTTCTAGCAAATAAAAATGTAGGGCATCCCAACTAGGCAATGGAATTGCATACATCCATACACAGTCGTATATGTGAAATCTTTTGTCATTTTTTGTGTAGGTACATATTCGAAAGATAATTAAAAGTTGACGTTGATAGAAGAAACATTTCCGTCTTCTCTAGAAATTACTTTATATCTATTATCGACCTAAAATGTCAATAGTATAAGACTGATGAAAGTAAATTTGCTTCAACTAGTAAAAATCTGACTGCACTTTGAATTTGACTGGACTAGGTGGCTAGGCAAATGAATGACGCGCAGTGTCTCGGGTTCGATTTCCCCACGAAACAACTCTTTGTATGAACCACAAATTGTTGCTCCGGGTCTAGGTGTGATATGTACCTATGTTTATAAACACACCTATGACACTGGATAAATGGCAAAGTTCAACGTATTTGTACATCGTAAGGTGACATCGTCATTTTGAAAACAAAAATGTAGGAATAAAAATGTCCATAATCGATAAACGCACACAGATGCGTCGAATCTTCTAGTAAATGGTTCAAATACACATCATTCTCTTTTATTTTCAGAAAGAATTCTCTCAAACCAGGTCGACAGCCCTTGAGTCGTTGGCGTGCAAAGTTCTGTTTCCATGCACAAACGCTGGTTGTCCCAAACATGCTGTTCTCTCGCAACTGGACAAGCATTACGCCCACTGTCAGTTCCGCATCATCGACTGCTTCATGGCTCGAGTATATGGTAAGTGTTACTGCTCTTTGTTTATTTATTTATTTATTTATTTATTTTACACTTCTTGCACATCGTACAATGGCGGACTTAACGCCTTAGGCGTTCTCTGCCAGTCTACCTTTGGGTGGTGGAGAAATAGCAGTGGTAGGTGCATCTTCTTGATAAAAACAAGGAAAAAAAAAAAAACTTGTTTACTGTTATTGATGTAGTTAAAATGTAGTTGTTGTTATGTTATGGTTTTTTTATTGTGAGGGGAAAATCATCAAATGACTTCTCCCGCCCAGGGCCGGGCAGGAGGGAGTGTCAGACTCTTACTGACTAAAAACCCCCCTGTTCCTTCTCCTGCTCTGTGCCGAGGTCGCGGTACCTCACTGCGCTTACCCCGCAACCCCGGCTGGTTGTTATGTTATGTTGGTATAGTCATTAATGTTATGTATCTTGTTTCGAGATAATCTATATGTGTTTTTTATAAATCATAGAGACGTACATCCTGTTAGTGTTTATTCACACTTAGGTTGATTAAAATGGATTGATATTATGCCAAAGTTAAAGTATAATGAAAACAATTTATCCCCAAAGGAATATCAAAAAAAACTTAATAAGGGCAACTTTTTCAATCTGACTACTTTGAGAAAAAATGTCGAAACAAACTCAGATAAAAATTATATAGGTAATAGGTATATATAATTTAAACAGTAAAACGGATATTGCTAAAACTTAATAAAAGATAGATGATAATCCAAAACCACGATTATATGCTACATTTTTAATTTCTTCGAAATCACTGACGGAATCTAGAAGCTTGTTACTCGAGACAGCTTGTTAGAATTTTTATGATTTTTTATTCGTTAAATAGCTAGGTATTAGAAATACTAATTGACCTAGGGGCTCTTATAGGGTCACATATGGTATGATTATTTTAGGTTTACGTAGTAATGAGTTTTTAGGTTAATTAAGTACTTAGTCCTAGAACTTTTATGAAACTTTTTAACTAAACCTTTTTGTACAAATTGTTTTTCCCTACATAAATTACTTAGAATTTATAACTTAAATGTTTATTTTTGAAACAAAGTCGTTAGTAGTTTTTGTAATATATTAACGTAGATTAACTACAGCTTTGTATTCAAATAACTAATTAGTGCTATTAGAACCATTTCATTAAGGGTTATTAACCTTTCAAAGGTTCTTAACACGTTTGATTAAAGACAACAATTATTCACAATTTTTAATTTTATGCTTACTTTATTGGTTAACATGTATAAAAACGGGCTTAGATAGATAGAAAAAGGACTCAATACCATGATTCATGGTAAATTTGATACCGCCATGATTAACAATATGTAAGCCGAAGATAATGTCTGCAAAATTATGGAATAAGATTCCAATTATATTTTACTTTTTTCTCTTTTTATAATACAGCTCGGCACACGAGCATACGGATTACCTGATGGTAAGCAATCAGCGCAGCTCACAACACCAAAGCAACACTAAAGGATTTTCGAGTGCGTTGCCGACCTTTCTGGGATAAGGGTTTTTGATATGTAAGGCTTGGGAAGGGATGAAGGAGGGGTAGAGATTAGATAGCTCAACTAGAATGATACCACGGCCTCATAGAAAACCAACGTAATAGGTACAACCACAGCATTGAGTTTGTACCTATTATGTTGGTTTTCTATGAGGCCGTGGTAGGAGGCTCAATCCTTCATCTACACCACTCCTATACAATCCCTAAATCTCCAAAACTAATCGCCAAAGGCCGGCAACACATTCGTAACTCCTCCACTCACAGGTGACACAGATTGCTTACCATCAGATAAATCTCTGCTCGATCACATAAAAAAGAAATAACATATATTTTTTTCCAAAATAACCCTAATGACCTTTGTTGTCCAAAATAAGAAAGCTATTTAAATACTGTTTTTACGAAGACGAAAATGTCCTCCATCTCACATCCACACACTCAGGGTTGGCAACCCCGTGTCATAAACACGAACATTTTATTCAGCTCCACTCAACGTGTAATACAGTTTTTGTTTGAGGAAAAACTTCACGAAAATATATTATACAATACGTAGGTTAGTGACATGAGTTCCAAATATTTGGTCGTGGCTTGAAAGCAAATTGAGTGCTATTTCATTCATCGGAAATTTCATGTTCAAATTTCCTGTTCTTTTTTCAAAAACTAATCGTTCTTAGCTAATATTTATTGCTAAAGTATACTTTAAACAATCCATTCTTCACTGATTTCATGCTTATTTCTGACAATATCTCGAATTTGGCCTTCAAAAATAGACACCTTAAATCCCAACATCATCAAACGGACAGTATCAAAAGAACCTCCAAAAGAAAGGAACAATCAAAACACCAATTCAATGCAAACAAAGGTTCAGAACGACACAATTCACCTCTTTCAAAATCCACTAAAACTGACACAAGTGATCCTAAAATTAACAATGGCTATACTGCTTTTTTCTTTTTCCTTAAAATTTCGCAATTTCAGGGGACTGCAAATGGAAAGGGCGTGCTGGTGACTGGATGGACCATTGTTTCATGGAACACAGTGAGAAGGTCACGGAGCTCCCATTCATCACGGTGAAAAACCGATGGGACGCGAAGAGAACAGAACCGGTGCTCAACTACTTTCTGCTGAAGTGCTACGAGCGGATATTCAACGTGTACCAGATTTATGATAAGAGAGGAGGTAAGGATAATAATTTGCTTACATTTAATATTAAAAACAAAACAGAAATAAATTATAATGAATCGATTGACTTAATTGTCCACGTCCAACACGTTAAGTCTTATTAGCAAAACTTAGGATGTTAAGAAACACGTAATAACGCACGCCAATGTATTGGAAATTACAATATGCATAGTTGACGGACTGGGCCAAGTGGGCTTCCAGCTACCGTGCCGCGTATTCAGATATCGACTCTCACACGGAAAAGCGACACCTCTTGTGTTATGTACAAATTGTTATTCTAATTGCGATGTGTATGTGAAATTTACTTTTGGGAACTGTAAAATCCAAACTTGTAAAATTTTTGACAGACATCTCCAAATACTGTACAATGTAAACGATTCATATAGAAAAGAGAATTTACAAATAGATAATTGTTCAGTCAAGTCATGATAAAAAATGATACCAATTTAAAGAACTGTGACACAATTTTCACGGCATTTTAACCGTGTACGTGGGGCTTCCCTCAACAAAGTTAATCGTTGACCTGTATTCTGAAGTGAACCGTTAATAACTCGATTACGTGGGAAAGAATTCTATAATCTTGTCTGGTGTAGTTCTTTGTGTATTATTTTTCATTGATGGAGTAATAACTTAAATTGAATACTAGTATTTGAGTTTAGTTTAAGCAACACCAGAAAATATGCAAGTGCGTAGCAAGTCTTTTGGGGATAAGGGGCTTCAGGATTTCGGAAATTGTGGACGGGGTAGTGTTTGGGCCTCCGGTAACCTCATTTAAACGGCGTCAAACTTCACGGTTCATGCTGCTGTTTTGTGAAACCGATTACTTATGACCGTTTCATACCAAAGCATAACTTTCCGGCACTAATTTTCTAGTTTTACTGATGAAGTAATAAACCAATAATTGACGCCGTATACTTGTAGTCTTGGGTCGGATCCAATACAAAATTAGGTAAAGTTACTTCGTCTTTATCAGACACACATCACAGGCGCTTTATTCTGAGCCTCATTTTTAGGAAGACTTAGCCATAATCTACATTTTGGTAGTAAGTTTGAAAATCACAGTTTAAAAGGTTCAGGTATATCAGAGAGCTCGGTTTCTGTTTAGAAGACTAGACGGGAGAGGCAAGCTTAGGCACGAATGGCTCAATTAGAGTGATACAATAGCTTCATAGAAAACCGGCGTGAAACAACCACTGCGTTGTGTTTAGCCATTGTGAATGAGGATACTGGATCTCCCTCACATCTCCCTAATTCCTAAATATCTGAAACCCTAATCCCCAAAAGATCAGCAACGCTCTGGTAAATCTTCTCTGGTGTTGCGGATGGTAAGGTCGTGGTGGTTCCGAGGTTAAGGAGCCCGCTTCTCATTCATGAGGGTGTAGGTTCGAAACCTGGCAAGAACCAATGTCAGTTTTTCCAAAGTTATATGTACTTTCTATGATTATTTCCCGCATTGAGCAAGCGTGGTGATTAATGCTCAAACCTTATTCGTGTGAGAAGAGGCCTTTGCTCAGCGGTGGGCACTTGAAGGCTGATGATTTTGCGGGTGTGGCGCTGATTACCATCAAGTAATCGGTCTGCTCTTTCGTCGACTTATAACATAAAAAATAAAAATAGACTCTTTTTTCCTCTACGACTTACATTATATATGAAACTAGCGATCCACACCGGCTTCGCACAGGTGCAATGTTAATACTAAACCCTTCCATTAAATGGATGTTATTATACACATAAAACTTCCTCTTCAATCACTTTATCAAGCAGCATCGAAAACGGGGATAAGGACAGAAAAAGCGACTTTGTCTTATACTAAGAAGTGATACTTATATTCAGCTAGCACATCTATAATTGCTTAACAAACAAGGCAGTCGATAATTAAATTAGTCACAACATAAATGCCACAAATGCGTAATTGATTGATAAACATATATGTATAACATATGTGTTATCAAGATAACTATTGGCAATCAAGTTATCTGGAACAATCGAAGTGGGTCAGTGGAATCACTTCCATCCGTTTGTATAAACTGATCTAGACGCTCACATGTATGCTATACGTAGGTACTAGATACAATATGTTTGCTTAGAAAATCCTAAGATTGTATTAAAGAAATCTACTTAAATAATGGAGGACCAATACTTCCTTTCCACCTCTACCCTCCATCCCTGAAACCCTAAAAAATCTTGATCCTCATAATGCGGTAACGCACTTATAACTCCTCTGGGGTTCATAGATTGGGCTGATTGCCATCAGGTTAAATGTCTGCGCGCTTGCCAGTATATCTCATAAAAAAATATGTTACAATCACTTGATTTCAATAGAAATCAAGTGATTTCAATAGAAATCAAGTGATTGTAACATATCGCCGATATTTAATTTGGTAAAGACCATTGAAAAAATAATGTATAAGTATTCTAATGGCGAATACCAAAAGAAAAATGGTGGCCCAGGGTGACGTAAAAATTTATACCATACACACACGTGACACGAGTCACGACACGACGTATATCACGCAATTGTTTCAATTCGGTAACATAATAATTAATGTAACATGTTTCACGAGGTAAATTAGGCGGGTATCCAGATTATATTAGGACAATAAGGGGACAAACTATTTCGGGGATAAAATCTTACCTTTTATGGCATCAATTCGATAATGTAAAGTTATAGAAAGTACGTAAAAACATAACATTACCACAAGGCTTTAAAAGTATGAAATATGAATAGGAATGTTTATGAATCCAAATAATATATGTATAATATAACTACCTAATATAATATACCTATATATACAAAATAACTTATACCGCAGTGATTCTTGAAAGATCCCACAAAAAACATACCTACTACGAAGAAGCAAATACCTGACATGGAAAAATACCTACACATTTATTTTTTATCAAAATACTAGGAAACATTGGAATCGAGACACAGCAATCTGTAATTCCAGACACAATTAAACTATGCTGTTTTTTTAAGGCTACGATTGTACTTTAAGAAGCCAGACGTCTTCTGTTTTCGTTTCTTTGTAACTGAGAATATGCAATACTTTCTCTTGTTTTTACACTCGGTAAAATAAGAGAGTACAATGTATTTATTATCTGGGTACATATTTATTCTAATAAAATTGTGTCTGGTGTATAGCTTACTTAATAAATGGTAGGAGTAGTCACTATGTATTAAGAAGTGTACTTGCAATATCAGTGATATAACAAATGCTCTAGGTATGGATGATATAAAAAACTTGTTAATTTCGCCATAATTTCTGGAGAAGAAGACTCATAAAAAGGTATGAGGAATTCCTAACGTCGTTGGTCAAAGTGGTTTTCAATGATCAAATGACCACGAAATACTCTTATTTTACTCAATACTATTAGATATACTCCGCGTGTGGGTCGCCATCTTTGTGGATTTTTACTGAAAACCTTGAGTTATTTCTAACTCATTCAACTTTATTATTTTGTTTCAGGAAGAATGATGTGGACTGTGCTTGTGAATGACGACCACGCAGAGAAGTTTTATTTTGAAGTCGACATTTTCTTACCAAACTTACCGAGCAAAAGGATTGTTTACAGGTTAGCATTTTTATGTTTCGATTATTTTCTTCGAAAGTGAACGACTTTATTTATAAAAAAATCGTAAAAAGAACACAAAAAGCTTTGTGTTTAAGAGCAAAAGATTTCTACGAAAGAATGTTTCCTATAGCTTTTCCAATAACTCCTTTTCCCTGAAATGTTTTTGCCTAAATACAGATTTGTATAACGAAACAAATTTGAAAGCTACAATAATCATGTAGCTGATTATACGGTTGACACAATGGCCGTGCAACTAGCTGTTACGCAATGCGTCGGTGATTCGATATCTGTAACAACTTTTTGTGTGATACACAGAAGGTTGTTCAGAGGTCTGATGCGTATAGAAATTGTGTGTATAAACAAAACCATGACACCAGAAAAAGAAGTAAAAAATAAAGTGAAATATACAATAAAAAATTACGTATGAATACAATCAGACATGTTAAGATCAACAATAGAAATTTGAAATGTACTTCAACAAAATTCCCTAAATAGAAGCTTTGAAAATCTCAATTCCACTCAAAACAATTTGTTAGATTACCTTACAAGCGGCATAAATAAGATCCTTCTGTATAAAAATGTTACTAACAAGTATTATAAATCGCTTTGTCTGTAAGTATACAAAACATTCGAGCATTTTCTCTTCTGTTTAGCGTAGGTTGAATACATGTAGAAACTTTTTTCTTTCACTACCATTATTATATTACTTATGAAATTTTCTTAGAATTCTATACAAGCACTGCTGTGAATAAAATGAAAAATAAATAGGGTTATTTACATGTTTCCTTAATGTGGACCAAAATAGGATGTCTTTGTTGACATAGAGTTAGCGGAAATCATGTCTTTAATGCATGTATTGGCATAATGGTCTATTGCATGGTGTTACTCATTAGGTAATAATAACGCGCCTGAGAGCTAGAAAATGCTTCCTTTAATTTTTAAAGAAAAAACTTTTTACGAATAACTTTTTTAATAATAAAGAAAACACATTATAATGTAACCAAGGACCTTTCTGAGAAGGACTTCTATATTGTAAATTTGATATTTCTGTTTTTTTTTTAATTTGTATTATCAAATACTTACGTTACATTGTGCAATAACTTTGGCATGCCTCCATGATAAAATAATCGTGATTGTCATCTTTCGTTGACTTCAAATACAAAATAAACTGGATTTTATTCTTTTATCTTTAACTAGTAGATCGCCCCTGCTTCGCACAGATATCCGACTACCTCGTTGTCAGTCATTTGTCTTGCAAGTGAACGGCCACGACACCGAAAGTGCTGTTGATTAACGCTATTCCCCTTTATTTTTACAAAATTTTCTAAATAATTACAATAACGAACATAACAAAAAAAGAATTGGCAAAATTGGTCCAAGCGTTCTCGAGTTATGCGCTTACCAACACATTTCGCGATTCATTTTTATATTATAGATTCATCAAAACCCAAGCGAACGCTCGTTTGCGCACCTACTATTCTTCTATTGTGTCTCTAATTACCACATTTGGACTAAGATCAAAATGCAGAATGTTAACAACAAGACAAACTAAATGTATTCCCAGACGATATAGAACACTCCAGATATCCAAGTCTGGAAATAGAATCAGATCTAATAATTGCAACATGTTTGATGCCAGCTGAAGCAGAGCATACACGTGAATATACTCCCATTAGTTCCAGTTCAGAACAATTATTTATATAGCCAAAGGATAATTGTTTCGCAACAGTTGCTGTGTGTATACAAATGTTATCGTAAACATTTATGTTGGTTATTTCAAGTGTTATACTCGCATTAAACGTTGGAACATCCGCTGTTTAGTTCACTAATTATATTGAGGGGTGTCCGGTAAAATAATATTACACGAATAGCAGATAGACACGATTGTACGAGGACCACTGTGATGTCACAAATGAATAAACAAAAAAATTTTTTTAAGAGATGTCTGTCTACCATTAGACATTTTACCTGATGGTTATCAATCGTGGCCGCCCATGGACACCCGCAATACCAAAGGAGTTACGAGTGCGCTGTCGGCCTTTTGGGAATGAGGGTTTCGGATATTTAAGGATTGAGAAGGGATGGGCAGGGTTGTGGGGGTGGGGGGATTTGGCCTCCGGTAACCTCACTCACACGGCTTAAAACAACGCTGTGGTTGTTTCACACCGGTTGCTTGTGAGGCCGTAATATTACTCTATAATTGGAAAAATGCATGATATGATAAACTTGATGTCATAGAGCCACAGGCATTCTCTACCAGACCTATAGGTTATGCAGCGGTAGCAATGATAGATACAATAACCTAACAATTGCCGAATTTGATTCCAAACTTGTACTACAACTAGATTTGTATTCGATCCATCATTATCAACATCATTAGTGCTATATAAATGTCCTGTTTTACACTGAGAATCTATAAGCATTAATCACCATGCTTGCTCAAAGAGAATTAGTGATTTCAGTCTTATAATCGATGCTTTATTTTACGTGTGGTCTTAATCGTCGGAAAAGGTTACATATACATATAGTACTTGCCAGATTTCGTATTGGATAGCTAATGGTACTTCAATCTCCGATAAACTAGAGAGATCCACTAAAGCCACTAAACTGTTCTATTAGAATAATTTTAAACTTGGAATGTTTCAGACGACCTTGCAAGTGTGAGAAGGATGCAGACTTCCTTGAGCACACCCAGAACGTATACATTCCTGTAGAAAATGTGTTTTCTATGCTAGACGAGGATGAGTCCGTCAACTTTATCGTCAGAATTGGTAAGAAAATTAACTATATAAAGTTTTGCTATTTAAAGAAATGTTCAACTAAAAACTCCATTACATAAAATAATGCTGTAAGTATTAAAAGTTTCAAAAGAGTAATGAGTCACCGCGGCCTCGGCCCAGAGCAGGAGAAGGAACGGAGGGTTTTTAGTCAGTAAGAGTCAGACACTCTCTCTCGCCTAACCCTGGGCGGGAGAAGTCATTTGGTAATTTTCCCCTGACAAAAAAAAGTATCTAACGTTTTTGTGCTTTCGTACTTTTTATTTGTTTTTCAAAAATGCATGTTCAGTAATACGGTTTAGAGGTGTAATTAACATTGAGTGATAACAAATTGCTTATACCATGAGCACGATTGATACACGAACATCAATAGACAAACCTATAGAGGACGACGAAGGTCGACACGTCATCTTCTCTTCATAATGAAATTACATTTATTATTAAGAAGTTAATCGTTTACTTCTTCTTTATCCTCTCATCTTTTTCTTTATAGTAAAATAAAATGGTAGTCACCTCATGCAAAATTTTTACTTCAGCTAAATATGTACCTATCCTAATCAAAACTCTATAAAATATATTTGATATCTGTCCAATAGAAACTAAAAAACGCATAAAATATGTGGGTTAATTTTTTGTCTCTCTTAATTCTTCTTTGTGTTTTTTCTTGCAAACCTTTTTTGTGTTTGTGTCGATATACAACAACTGTTAGTATGCAAGTACTTATATTATATAACAGTAAGGTATAGTCGATAATGCTGTATTTACCTATAAGTATTTTGTTACACCCACTTTAAGAACTTTCATGTATTTATTATATTGTACTGGTGTAAACAAATGTTAGTAAATCTAAATAAATAAATAAAATGTAAATAAAACTAACTTTAAAAAGGCAAGGATACAGATGAATTAGATGATTAACAAATGACTGATTTTATACTTACTTGCATATTCAAGGTAAAGATTTCTGATAAGAGAACGGAATTGTCCAATTAAGAAATCTTTTATTAAAATGCGACCATTAAAAATTCATACGTCGTTGCACGCATTAAATGCTCGAGCAACAAGAATGACAATCATGAATGAACAATTATTTTGAATTGTTACTTCAATGAGAATCTAGATATTTACATTGGTGTACCTACATATAAAAAATTAGTAAAAGTATATATAAATGTATATATAATAATACATACTTTGTAGTGCACGAAGAGCGAAGGAGAAATATACTACCTATAGTTTTTCACCAATAATTGGTGAAATTGGAATAAGTCTTTTAGAAAACTTCTTGTGAGTCTTATTACCTTGGTTATTTGGATGACATTTAATAGATTTTTGAAATAGGGATTAGAGCAGGTAGTTCAAAATAACGTAAGTATTAAGACTGGAATACGTTTTGTAGAAAAATGGTGGTTATCAAACGACGATTCAGAATACCTGCCTGATATGGCTCAAATTGAAATAAATTAAGCATCGCTCTTTGCAGTGAGTATTTTAAATTAAAGTTTTCTATAAAAAGTATTCATAAAAAAATTATTGTAAGTAATAGCTTAGGTTGTATTAGATCCTGTCCAAATACCGGAATAAGAAAGAGCAGTTTCATTCCTTATTCGATATTTAAATAAATTAGATAAAAGGATAAAAGTTATCTAAGGAATAATTATGATGCTATCGCGTCAGAATGCTTATATAAGACAGTGACAGCAACAATTTTATTCCTTAGATAACATTTATCTAACTATTGAAAAATCATCCCTAATTGTAATTATTTATTTTTCTTTTTACACAAGTGAACTCTTTATTCAAATAAAAACTACAAAAATTTTGTAAAAAAAAATTACAGGTGAAGTCGAAAACCTTCCAATATTCGACACCCCTACGCCAAGCGAGAGCATCATACTTCTACACAACGAACACGGCAAGGACGAATAAAATCAAGATTTACAACTTTGCATCTTAGTACATTTATTTATGTATTAAATTCGAACAAACGTGTGCTTTGTAACTGAGTATTTCCAATAAAGGTATAGCAGGCGAATTTTGATTCTAAATGCTTTTAATTTAAAGTTATTTATCCCTTTTCATTCATTTGATGCCTTGTTATTGCCTGGTGGTAAACGAGCAAGTAAACTAACTACATTTTTCTCAAATTATTTACAGAATAACAATCAAAGTATTAATTCCTTCGAAATTTATTGCAATATGAAACATAAATATCTTTATTGTTTTACACATATTTTACAATCAATGGAAAATAGACTTAATACAACAATACTTATAATAATTAGGTAACAATTAACGTTTTTCAAATGTTTCTTACAGTTGAAGTATAGAAAGGTAGCATATTATTTACCTTCTGTTATTTTTTTTCCAGTACTAGGTATATCACCTTTCTGCAAGTAATAAAATGGATGGTCGTACATACGCCTTTTTTATTATTAAATCGTCTAACGCGGTTGAGTATTTTAATTTCCCAGGGGTGACTTTTTCTTAGGAAGTTGATAACACAAATATGAGATACCTACTTACATAAATGGCTTTGTATTTTTTTTTGCTGTAGCTGCAATAAATATTTTGTGTCTAGTCGAGATTTGTTTTTCGTTTTACTTTGGCTTTCGAGAAAATTTAAAACTAAATTTAGACCATGCTTTACTTAAATCTATACTAATATTACGAATTGTTTGTTTGAGTTGCTCTGTAAGTACTTGATCGATTTGAAAAATTCTTTTACTGCTAGGAAACCACATTAGTCTTGGTAAACATAGACTATTAATTACGCGAAAAAAGCCGCAGGGCAAAAGCGAGTTGAATTATAATATTTGTGTTTATCTAACAATGGCTTTATATTATGTTATGTTATTTGTAGAAATGTATTCACTAATTAAATCTGTTGCCGAGGAAACTAGCCACAAAGTATTCTCTGCAGAGCATTCAGATAATTCACCAAATAGTTTGTAAGGCTAACATGAAACTATGTATCAAATCCCTTCCCCAATTCAGTAGAACATTCAACCAAAATTTGATTCTATTCATCCTAGTTTATAGTCCTTAGAAAATGCTATCAGTTGTAGATAACATTGCATATTTTCCATTTTGGTTTTTCACAATCGTTGTTGTATTTAAAAATGTACTTTATACAATATAAATAAGTATAAAATTTGAGTGCGAGTTTTATTTAACGTATTAAGAAAAAAAAACATCATTTTTTTCTGTGACACCAACTTATACGTTCAAAATTAGAACATGAACACGAAAATAGCATTTCAAGTTGGAAAATGATTTTTTTACACGTAACAATTTAAGATACTACACCACTGAAGTTAATTATTAATTTGACAAAACACTCAACAAATTTTCAACAAATATATCATTATACACAATCAAGCAAATGTATCACATTTAAATAATGCCAAAATAGCAAAAAACTAGATCAACATTTGAATAACAAATCGACGTAAAGATTCGAGAATATTTTCAACCGTATCCGATAAAACGTGATTTTATCAGCACCGCAATATTCACTTTTACACAATTTACTTAAAAAGGTTACCGTTACACATGAAACGTAAGATTGACTTTCACAGTCGATCGAGCGCGCACCCTGTGTAAAGTAACAATAGGAACATATCAGCGATTCAAACTCCCAACTTGTTTACTCTCTTCCGACCGCAGTTGGGAGCAAACGAACTGAGAATTGTGTGCAAAAATAAAAATATATTGACGCTGCAATCGATCTCCAACACAAACCATTAAACTTTAAGCGTACGATAGAAAATATAGGAAATAGAGGCGGGACAAAGCGAACTATTCTTTTGAAACTATTCTCCTTGCAGACCTCATTTGCAAAGCTTTTTGAACTTTCCCTTCGATCCAACTGATGACTTTGCTATGTTAACTTACATATTTATTTACACTTGCCTCAGGCATGAGGGTGATAGCAGGAACCCGAATGTTCTTTTTCCTTTTTGTATTTCTTTCCGATATTTTTCGAATAGGTATCTAAGAAGCTGCTCAACAGTAACGACTTGGTACGAATTGACTGGCTCAACTGTAGTAATACCACAGTATGACTGAAAGCCGGCGTGAAACAACTCTTGCGTTGAGTTAATGGGAGTAATGCTACTAGAGACCCAATTCACCACATCCCAAATTTTCGAAGCTCTTACTTCCAAAGGGAAGGGAGTGTTGTGGCTATCAATGGTGTTGCCGAGTTCTCATTATCAGGTGACAATTTTTTTCTTTTAACCGTCCTATTCAAGTCCTCGTCCTATCAAAAGTCTTAAAGAAAAAGTCTTAACTCTTTAAATTTAATTTTATAACTAGTTACCTTTATTGAAACGTATATTATTATGTATACAAAACATCTTAATAAACAAAGGTACTTCAAAGCCTCAACGATGAAACCCTTAATGAACACCACACAATACTCGTATAACATTTTAAAGGCTTTCATCACAATTTTAATCAATATAAACATCGTCATAATTGTCTCAATTTAATAACTTCCATCCAAATAATGTACGGGGTGAGGTTTAATTGGCATATTGTACAAAAACGCTGAAACCGTGTCGCTGAAAATCAGCGTGTAAATCACGCCACAGAATTATGAGAGCATGAAATTTATTACGTTAACATCCGCTTGCAAATTTTCATCATAAAATAATTTTGTTCATATAAATAATATACAAATACATTCAAATCTTTTAGAACGCTCGTCCTTTTTTTTTGTTTAAATTATTGCGAATTGGCCGGAAGGGTACGAATTTTGTTGGCAAGCATTTGGCAGTATTCCTGTTCGTAAATCTTTTGTTGAACAAATCTGTGTGAATATAATAGAAAGCCTCGTGATTTAGTTCCTTGAAATCCTTTGTGGGTACGCCTCAGTACTGAATATTGTTACCATTAAAAATAAAGGAAAAAAAGGCGTAAGTATAAATCTGGTGTAAGAAAGTTACGACCCATGTCAATGCGACAAATGCCCACTGAATGTCAACAAACCCTTCTCATAACAAGAAAACAAAACGGTTACTAAAATAAAAACCGCGTTAAAAAGGACTGGCATTTACACTACAACCTTTCTCTTTTACTGCTTCATAAGGAGTCTATGGCAAATTTATAGCTTCGCGAAGAAGATACTTTTTACTGTATGGCTTTATTTGTTGCCAGTCTGTAGTCTAACGAAAAATATATAGCAAGCATAGCTTAAAAAAAAGGCTTGCAGCATAACAGAGCTAATCTGTCAGTTGCCAGCCCTATGCCATCAGAAAGTCACCTTGTGATCCTAAAGCAAAAAGGAATTGTTTACCATAATATTATTTAGTCTGTTGTTTCGAAGTTTTTCTATGCGTTGCAGCAACTACTAAAGCTATCAGACGCAACTAACTTAAATTTGTTGTTATAGAAATAACGGGATCGGTAGCTATATACAATCTAAATAAGACCTAGTTGACAGTTTGCAATAATTGGTCCAGCAGTTCATAATTTCAATTAAACACAAGATACAAATTACGTTTTTACTGCGAAGCCTCGGGGCTCAGACGTTTGACAACTCATTAAGGGAGACAGCGCTGGAATGCGCTTCATTATTTCTTGGCTCGCAACGAACACTCGCTTTTCACAGTTGCTGAATTATTTAAAATTTGACTACTCCTTTGATGTCGGCCATGTTGAGGGAAATATTTTGATGGCAGCATACGCTTGTTGAAGAAAACAAGACGTGTTGGTTAATTTTAAGATGACTTTAATTAAGTCTTTGTATGTCTCTACATAAGTAGCTTTATTGACTTTTAGTAAAGGTAAACTTTGAAAGCAAAGCAATAATTATAATTACGTATTTTAGATTCGTTATATTGACATTTTACTACCAACATCTATAGATGTAGGTTATAATATTTTTAAGAGGATAAATGTTTGTTGTTGTTTGGTTTTGTTTGTGTGTTTATAATGAAATAACTCAAAATCTATACAAATATACTAAAGAGGTAAAATTTGTAAGTTTGTATGTAGGGGGTAATCTTTGGAACCGCTGGTTGGATTTCCAAATTCTTTCACTGATAGATAGCTACAATATTCCTGAGTGCTACAGGCTATAAAACATCACGCTACGATTAAATGGAGCCGAGCAGCGGGTGAAACCGTGCGAGAGCAGCTAGTATTTGATATTTTGAGTATTCTTTTACTATTATTTCTTATTCTTACTCTTTTATTTCTTATTCTTTTACTTTAATTTTACTACTATTGGAAAGGTTCTATCAATTTGAGTAACATTAGCCGTAGTTGCAAGATTGGTGCGAGCGCAATAATGTACCGCGGTCTCAATCAGGAGCAGGAGAAGGAACAGGGTAATTTTTATCAGTAAGTGTCCGGCATACTCTATGGCCTTGCCCAAGGTGCGTGTGTGGAGCAATTTGATGATTTCCCTACAAAAAAAACCTTGAATAACATGTTCTATATTTTTTGTTAGACATATAATAATGGAACTGAGCTGAGATGTTAATAAAATATAAGATATTTATCCCAATAATGATCAAAGTAATGTTTTTTCAGGTAGGTACTATAACAAAATTTTGTTCCTTTACACAATATTAGAAGCTGTCAATGTCCGGACGAAACATATGTATCACGGTTTATCTTAGTAAGCCGTACATTGGCGGGTAAAGTTATTTATTATTTAGAAAAACAAAATCTAATTTAGCTTCTTTCCTTTGGGAAAATTTTGTCTGAAAGACTGATATTGTATGACCTAATTTATAAAGGGTTAATTACAATATCGATCATTCATTTGTTTATTTTCATGTTATACTGTATTATGAGAACCAGAACTTTCTTTTAAGTTTTCAAAATTGTAATGTTACATTTGTTTTTCTATTCGAAAAATACGCGCGAGGTTTTAAAATTTTTGTTAACACACTGTTAGGATGAATTTCTTAAAGATACAGTGGACTTACGAAAAATAAAATAATTAAAACTGAATGGTAATTTGTCGCAGATTATGTTTTATTTCCTTTACTATAGATAACACATAAATGTATCTCTGTTACTTTGAATACTGGCCTTTCAAATTACCTATTTGTTTTGTAAAGGAAATGTACTCAATTGCCCCACAGGCAACGCGGAGTCATTATAAAAATGAAAGTAGATACATTAGAAATCCGCT